CCCCCACTCCCCCCCTCTCCTCCTGCCATGTGTTATCACTGCTCACTTACATCAAAGAGCAGCTGCAGGATCTCCATGGCGCTGGTTAGCATGGAGATGGCTGGTTCCCCTGGAGACGGCTGTGTGATGCTCTAGTGAAAGTCACCCTGATGAAGTGTGTTCACCGCGGTACAGTACCTCTATTACAGCAGCAGTGCATGCCTGCAGCTGTCCTTTAAAAAACATTCATTTCTGCCCATGAACGCCTCATCTCTGAATGTAAATAAAGCATGAGATATTATGGCCTGTTTTAATTTATATTATGGTTTGAGTATTAAACGAAGGGTTAATATTTAAGATAGGTCAACATATTTTTTCCTGTCCTTGAGCTCATGGTCGTTTTTTTTTAACATTTCTTTCTATGTGAATGAAGGAAATGTCTATATTTAACGCTGTTGTATGCTGTTGTGTTTTAGAGAGCCAGCTCATACAAATGTTTTTACATGTAGAGGTCTGATCTGATCCATCTCAGTGTTTTTTAGACTGGTGCAGGTAAGGCAATGTTCATTTAATGGTACACATACAGTGAGCTACACGTGTCACTGCCTTGTTTAAACTCACCAAGGAAATGTTGTTTGTGAGCTTCTCATTTTGGGAGGCATAGAAGATGAAAATAAAGTGTTTTGAAAGGTTTACTGTGTCCGAACATCATTGTGTGGAATGTACATTGCAAAGGGTACTTGTACTTAAAGGGGCCCTATACTTTTTGGAGTTTCCCTTTCCTGTAGTGTGTTATATAGCTTTTAGTGCATGTAAATGGCCCGCAAAGGCTAAAATCCATGTGTTCCCTCCAGAGGGAGTTTCTCTCCCACACACTTCCACTTTACTAGTACATTATTGGCTAAGAGGCGGGACATCTCTGAGCAGTTCACGAATCCCAACAGAGCTGGCCAGCTAACCAATCAGAGCAGAATGGACTCTGGTTTCAGACAGAGGGTGAAAAATAAAGAGCTTTTTGAACAGTTAGAGGCACACAATATATGTACCTGAAAGTAAACACAATATGCTCTTTAAACTCTTTGAATATTTAAATACTTTGACCCGCTACATTTCAAAGGCATTTTTTTCAACAATTGTTTTATCTTTTTGTCTGAAAATATTAAGCATATCAATTCACTGTTTTGATATATACAATCCATGTGGCTCCACCTTGACCAGGTGCCACATTCAAATATATTGTATCCTTTAGTAACAGTAAAAATGATCCTATAATATAATATACAATCATACAACAGGAAAAGAGCCCATTTTGCTGCTTAATAAAATGTACATATTTATGATAATATTGACATACTTTCACTCAAGTAAATGTATTCAAGATGTTTACTGGTAATGATGTATTTACATTGTCATTTACTGTACGGAGACCTTAAAAAACTGATATTTTATTTATTTATCACCATCATTATTTATTATCTGTGTAAAGGATCCATATCATTTACACACATTAATAAGGGCTTACATTATCTAGTATACTTTGGCAGGATTCAACTATTGACGGGGCCTGTTGGGGCCCAGTCAAATGCATGCACAGGAACAGGTGGGTAATCAAGTTAGGTCAGTTACCAGCAATGCCTTGTAAGTAATGCAGCCTTTTCAAACCAACAAGATAATAGAAAGAGTCGTATTCAGGCTCTACGGGGCCCAATGGAATTGAGAAAACTTCCTCAACCACTTGTGGGATATCACCCTTGTGATGGATCTAATATTTAAATTTACAAAACAGGAATGAACATTTTAAATATCAAAATATAAAAAGTTAAAAAGTAGTGTATTAGCATCAAAATGTTCTAACTATGTAAAGCTTTTTTTGTTTACCTTTCAGATGTTGTAGGGAGCCTCTGGAGCAGAAATGAAAGAGTTTTCAAATTGTTTACATTTTGTTTTTAGGGAAATTTTGTAATATTGCAACGTTGGCCTTAGGTGGGAGCAGAATTCTACTCACATTGTCTGAATAAATATATTGAATAACTAAGGGCTAATTTGCAGGATTTATTGCTTACTTAGCCCTATATCAGTATACAGCATGAATAATAATCACACATCAGTCATATTTGTTATGAATAGTCATTTATTAAATAGTAATGCAATGGTAGTCCCAAAATCTGGACCAGAAAAATCAGTATTGACTGATAAAATATTTTCCCAGCCAGCGATATCTGTCACAGGGCTTGGTTTGTTTATTTGGTTTGGGCTCGATGTCCACATAATCACTGACTGGGCCGTCATTGGGTCATCTGCCTCTTCTTTACTCATAGCAGTGTCACTGTCCTCTGATTCCATCTCAAACTCACTTTCTCCTTTTTGGCATTCCCCCCAAATGTAAAGCGTCTTTGGGTTCGAGAAAAGCGCTATAAAAAAAAAAAAATTATTATTATTATCACATCCTGCAGCCTATTATCATAATTAAAGGAATACCTACACCCATACATGTAGGTAAACCAATGCAACAAGTCATACAATACTGCCTATTATCATAATAAAAGGAATACCTACACCCACGCACAGATAAACCAGTTCAACAAGTCACCCAATGCTGTCTGGCTAATGATAATAGGCTAATTATCATACTGAAAGGGATACATCCAAGAGTCCCAACACATTTCAGAAAGAACTGTTTCTGCCAAAACCAGAGAAGAGTTAAATGTATTTGTGTAACTAATTAACTGATAAGATACAGGTAGAGTTTAAAATATTGATATAATTTCACATACTGCTATCAGAAATAATCTATTCATTTATTCAATTCTGGTCATAATTAAAAAATCTTAACAGAGGACACATTTAGAACTTAGTTATAGTAAATTTTCAAAGACATTATATTTCTATTTGTGTTTTATTTCCATATTGCAACAAAGACATAAGGTGCTCAAAATCAAATTTGATGAATGTATTCCACAAAAACAGAATATGTACATGTTCTCTAGACATAGTGATAATCACAAAAATAATTGTTTGTGGCATTTTACTTATTTGAATCTGACAAATCCAGTCCAATAAAACAAAGAGATGTTGCTCGTTTGAAGATTCTGAAGTTGTGTGAGTGTATGGTCAGAGGGCAGGACCTATAAACACATTTAATACCAAATAGCATTGTGACTATGTAAATGTAGTCTTTAAAAAAAACAAAAAACATTTACTGACTTTTTTAGGATAGCTTAAAAGTAATGTTGTACAATTACAACCGGGGGGCACCGCCTGTGTAACTACTAAATCACCAAGATCACACTGGTGTTTGTTATTCCCCTCTAGTTTACGAAAACATAAGCAACTTACTCTGAGCCAATCACGTGAAATAGTACCAAAAGTTCAAGTACTCATTAGGCAGAATGACACATTTTAGAGTAATGCACATTATTGCATTTATTAATGCAATTATGTGTATACATAATCTAAATATGCTAATAAACTGAAACTATCAAATATATGTTGTGGAGTACAAAGTACACGATTTCCATCTGAAAGGGAGGTATAGGGGAAGGAAATACTAATTTGTTGGGGTTCTTAACCGGTTGATGGTAGTGTCTTTAAACCAAACGCAGCAGGTGTTTGTGTCATTGATCGCACCACTGTTTCATTTTCAACAGCCGGGCACTTTGGTGACGTCACCCAGGAAAGTACACATTCTCACCGTGCTGCTGCATTGAACCGAAAACAACCGGACAGTACGCAGTTTTACCGACACACAGCTCATGACACTTTCATAGAAAGACGACGTAAGTCTCAAAACTCGCTTTAGAAACGGAAACGTTCATTTAAATGTCACTTAACTGGCGTCAAAGCCTTTATTTGTCAGCCATAATGCTAGAGGAGCCGGGCACGTCTATTTCCTGCAATGTACTAGGCTGCTGTTGGTTGGCTAAACTCTTTACGTTGCTGCTAGCTATCTGTTAGCCATTGAAAAAAACAAATAAATAAAAAGCTTTTAGTGAGTGTTTTCGTTTGGCAGCTACCTTAAATTCAACCTGTACCAAATCGTCACAATATTACAACATGACTTCGGTATTGGGCAAACTACGATGTAATCTGACATAACTGTTCCAGGATGTAGCCACGGCCCTTAGTTGTATTTAGCTAAGCTAGCTATGTAGGAATTCAAACGTCGTCATTTGTTTGTGACCATAAATGCTTTAAAAATAAATTGAATGAAATGTAAATTAACTGTGTCATGTACATGTCATTTATACACAGCCTGGGTGACAAAAATGGAGAAACCTCCCTTCAGGCAGAACCAGAACTGCGGAGACTGGGAGCTGAAAGAGAGGCTGGGAATGGGCGGTTTTGCCCATGTTTACCTGTACCAACATCATGTGAGTTTAGAGCCATATAACCCTGACAATGAACACTAAAACCCTGCAAGACAACCACTATGATAACTGCATCACTATGAACTTACGGTACTTCCTATTTGGATTGTTAAAGTCTTCTTTCTTTTTTTGACATCTATGAGGGTGATACACACAAACTGCTATTTCTGGGGTAAGCTTTTATGCTCTGTACAACAATAATGGACTTTTTGGCTCCTGTTTTGTAGGAAACAAATGAAAAACTAGCTGTGAAAATGTGCCGTCTGGAGCTCACACCAAGGAACAAGGACAGATGGAGCAGAGAAATCCAGATCATGAAAAAGTCGGTCTTATATTTATACAATTCTTATATACTACTTGTTTAAATTTCACACTGATTTATAGCAACATTATACTGTTCTCTCCTGGAATCATAGTGACCATACTTATTCAAAGTGATAATTTGTTATAAATTTAAAACTGCAGACATTCAGTGGATGACTTAGCACCATCTGTATGACCAATACAAAGTAATGCTGCATTGACCTGTCATTCTCTCTCCAGGCTGAATAACATCAATGTCGTGACAGCCCGAGATGTCCCAGAGGAAATGAGGCACATAGCCTTAAATGACCTTCCACTGTTGGCCATGGAGTACTGCTCAAGGGGAGACCTGAGGAAGGTGAGCTTCACCTAGGAAGGAAGATAAGAAATAACACATCCACATAAAGCAAGATAAATCTAAAATTGAATTTGCATTTTTTTCATTCTTGTCTTTCAATAAATTCTAATAGAAAATAATCTCACCTGAAAACAGAACTGTTCAACTCAGAGGTTCAACTCATAAGTGGATACACCTCAAACAATCACCTCACATGTTATTTTAGCCATGAAACGGCTTTACTGATTTATTTTCTACAAGAACCCCTACCTGCAAATGTTATTTAAAAAAAACAACAAAAAAAACACGCACCCCGGCCCAATTATTATCAGCTCATCGGAAGAGTAGCTGCCCCACACTAAACGTCTATATCAGCCAACATGTTTTACCTGTTTTAATGCTTTTGTTCATCATCTGGTAAAATATCAGACTTCAAGGCAGTCCTATTTAAAAAAAATCAATCTTGATCATAATTTAGAAGCAACCCCAGAACGTCTTTCCTGCTGGGTTGCTGACAGCACTGTCAAGGGAGATGCAGTGATTTGACTGACAATATGCAAATCAATCGTTGGTCTTCTCAACTGACATGGTCAGATCTGGCATGTTATGCTGTAATCAAATTGAATGCTATGTAGTGAATCAATTTAAATATACGTTTGGTTGTTTTATAACAAAACATACGAGGGCATAAGGAGATCAATTGGATGTTTTTACCAGCTGAGACTCAGCAGACTACAGGGCTAGGTTCGTCTTATACATTTCGATATTGGCTATGATGCACAGTTTAAAAAATGTTCCGATTAAAAAAAGGAGAAGAACAGATATTTATTTTCTCTCTGATTGAGGCCATTATAGTGCAGACATACACGTATTTCAAATGTACCCGGCTTAGAGTATTGTAAAACTCGTCAAAGTGCAGACGTCCAATGTTTAAAGTTCCATCAGATAAACAGATGACTTTACAACCGTAGTATGTTGTATGAGAGTGTTTTTCTATTTATGTAATGTAGATTAAATGCAGATGTAACAGAACTACATGTGTGTGGGTTACAGTTGCTGAGCAAACCTGAAAACTGCTGCGGGTTGAAAGAGAGTGAAGTGCTTTCATTACTCAATGATGTTGGTAAGACCAATGTTTTCTCTTTTATGAGGCTTCTTCAATCAGATGTGTACTTTATTAGAATATCATCATAATTCGGTTAAACCACTTTTTTCTGCTCCAGGATCTGGTATCCAGTATCTGCACGAAAACAAGATCATACACAGAGACCTTAAACCTGAAAACATAGTGCTGCAAGATATCAACGGAAAGGTAAACTGACAGTTTGGTTTTGTTTGACCTCACATAGTAAACCAACTTTGTTTTATTAATATGTTCTTCTTCTGCAGCTGGTTCACAAAATCATTGACTTGGGCTACGCTAAAGACCTGGACCAGGGCAGTCTGTGTACCTCCTTTGTTGGCACACTTCAGTACCTGGTAAGCAAACCAAGACCATTTTTGTTTTTACAATCAGATAATGCTAGTTCTATGAATCATCCTAATTATATTTTAGAATAATTCAATATTTCTACTACCTTAAAGGGGTCCTGTTATGCTTGTGTTTTATATCGTTTTATTTCCATGTAAATGAAAAATGTAAAATGCAAGATAACATATTTGTGGATCAAATGAATCATGTTGAATTGCATGCTTTCTCTGCAGGCACCTGAACTGTTTGAGAATAAGCCATACACTGTAACTGTTGACTTCTGGAGCTTTGGCACCATGGTATTTGAATGCAGTTGCGGCTTCCGCCCATTCCTGCACAACCTGCAGCCTGTGCAGTGGTGAGTTGAACTGAGTAGCAAAACATTAGGACATCTACATGTCGAGCGGGAGTGATTTATTTTAGATAGAGACTTTAGTAGCTCATAAATCAAAAGACAGTTCAGAGCATAGGCTTAGCAAAGGGAGGAGCTGAGGCAAAGATGCTGAGTGAGGTGAGACGTGTTCACGCTGGTGTTCTAAAAACAACGGGACACTTTTTTATTGTAGTGTCACACAGTGAGTGTTTGCAGCAGCAGAAGGTGTGAAACTCAGCTCATGGAGATAAATTAATTACCTTATACCCTCAGTGCCCCATTTCATATTCTGTGTCAAAACTCATCTGAGTTACAACTCTATCAAATCTGAACACGCAGACATCAAATAATAGCCTTACTAAGTCAAAACAGGCCTCAAAGTCGTAGTACACAGCTAACTAGGTCAACTGACTCCACAGCAACATTATATTTACTTGCTTATGTCCCCCAAACCCCCAATTCATGGCAATTGCAGTAACAAAACCCAGAGCATGATGGGTGTCGCCCAGAGTTTCCGTTAGAATTTTTTTTTGCCGGTCAAAATTAGAAAAGTGCCGGTCAAAGGTCTTCTTTGTTATTTATTGAGCTTTAAAACAAATTGATATGATTCGATATTAACCAAACTAATTATAGTACTGTAGATTAACTACATTATTCAAAAGTGTACAGTAACTTACAATAACACGGGAATAATAAACGGAGTGCTCTCTCTCACTCCTGACAGCCCGTCAGTATCTCATGCAGCTCGCTGATCCAGTAATGAGTGACCCGACAGTAAAACTAAACATATCTATAACTAGTTCAGGTAGTTTGAGAGGTAATTAAAATAGCTACGTGTGATATTCTAACCTGAAGTGTGTGTTTTTGTTCCGCTCACTGCTGCAGGTGATTATGCAGAGCTGCCTGTCGACTCGTCAGCAGCAGCTGATCTCTCTCTCCCATCAGATTAGACTTCACTCGCGTTTATGTCCATATCGATCAGATCTAGCTAGTTCTAGCTAATGATAGGACTACCTGCTTATCAAAAGAGACCTAAACAATAAGCGTCGCTATGCAACCGGGTGAGGCCGCAAAGTATAGCGCAGCATTATGCATTTGTTTACATGCCCACCGGAACCCCGAGGCATTACCAACAGATCAATGCACAATCAACCCATACAGGACATCCATTTCTCCACATTAAGTGTTAGACATTAGAATGGACTATTCTTGTCTGTCACATAAGTGGCTCAACTGATGCGGTATTGTGCTAAGGGGAAATGATGACCGGAGAGATTTAGAAAGTCGGGTAATTACCGGCTAACGAAAACTCTGGTGTCGCCCTAATAAATCAGATGGCAGGTAATGATAATACCGGTAATCCATGAGTATGTTTTTTGTGTTGCAATCAATTCATTTGATATTTGGAGTATTTTCAACTTGTCATTGGATCCAGTATACAGCATTGAAAATCATTAAGAGTATATTAGGTCCCACACTTGTAATAATTCTGCTAGAAAGTCGAATAACATGGTTTAGGTCAATAAGATACGAAAGCAACACAATTAAGAACACTGAGGCACGACAAATAATAAGCAGGAAAGGCCAGCAGGTGGAGCCAAATCCCAGAAATGAGAACTTGGCAAACAAAAAATAAAACAAAACATTTGGATCTCACCTTTCACCTCTTGACAAAATACAAGTGTGGCAGCCAGCCCAACACCTAGTGAGTTAACAATAATCATCATTCATGCATAAAAAATGTAGCCCTGTGTTTAAAGAAAACATCTCAAAAACCCAATGAAAGAAAGTTCCTCACTCAGTGTTTGTGAACACTGTGAAATGTTTAATTTTCCATCTTACTACTGTGCTGTTATGCGCAGTGTTGTGCTAGTTACTGAAAAACAGTAACTAGTTACCATTACTAGTTACTTCATTTAAAAAGTAACTCAGTTACTTTACTGATTACTTACAACAAAAAGTACGCATTAGTTAATTAAAAAAAGGGCTCCCATTAATGCCCTTATAGCCTTCATGCATTGGAGAATAATACAATCTGTTGATCAAGAAATAGCGATAGAAATAGTAGAAATAGCCTGCATGTGTTCTACAACATACCGTGCAATGGCTTTATCAACTTTTCCCTGGCCAGCAGTCCCTCGGTTCAAATCCAGCCGCTGTTGCTTAGGTGGAGGTGGAGTGGTGTCGGTTGAGTCTGGGTCTGTGGTCTTAGCTACTAGCTTCGTCCCAGCATGTTGTTTCTGCAGATGTTTCAACAGATTTGAATTGCTGTTTTGGGCAGTAGATAGGATCTTTGACCCGCCAAGACACAACTTACATTTAACTAAAACGTTCTTTTCTTTGTGCTCGACAAAAGTGAAATGGTGAGAATATCTCCAGGTGGAAAAACTCGACTTGAGCTCCGCCGCCCCCATGATAGTCTTGTTAGTAAACACAAACAAGCCCACAGCGCGTCTCCGCATGTGACACAGGAAGTATCTAAGTACATTTACTCAAGTACTGTACTTAGGTACAGTTCTCATCTCTGTTCACCTCGCTGTTGGCGGCGCTCACCAACGTCTGGGAGCCGAGACTATATAAAAAAAATAACAACGGAGTAACGCACCATGTAGTAACGGTAACTGAGTTACTGAATTTAAAAAATGACGCGTTAGAGTACTAGTTACTGCCAAAAATACTTACTTTGTAAAGCGTTAGTCCCAACACTGATTATGCGTGGCATAAAATAAAAAGCATTTGTTTATAGATGTTAAGTCATCCATCATCAACATCTCTTCTCTTCCCATCCACAGGGCCAGCAAAGTGAGGAATAAAGGTCCAAAAGACATCATGGCTGTAGAGGAACCTAATGGGGAAGTCCGTTTCTCCACACACCTCCCCTACCCCAACAATCTGAGCAGGTGAGGACCCTGGGACTGGCAAACATATCTCTTCAAAGACTGATCAAATAATGTAAAGCTTATAACCTTTTGTCGATATGTACATTGACATGGAATACAATTATTGCAGTGCATGGTCTTTATTTATATTACTGCAGTGAGAGATGCCAATGAAATGTTGTACTACTTATGTATGATGACAGTGTTTTTCATGTCTGTTCCTTGTGTTTAAAGTTGGTATTTAATTCGGCACAGTTAAAATGAGGCTGCACTGTTATATTACTATTATTAGTATTATACTATTTGTAGAATTAGATTCCCGCAGTGGCTGCTTAGGGATATATACAACTTCTGCCCTCAAGGAGGCGCTACAGGTCACTGTCCACCAAAACTGCCCGCTTCAAAAACAGCTTCTTCCCCTTTGCAATACGGACACTAAATGGACTCTAAATAACCCCAATGAACAATCACAATCAATCACACCTTGAACTTTATTTATATATGTCATGATGTATGTATTTGCTGTGGGTTGTACTTTTTATTGTCTGTTTATTGTATGTTGAATTGTATGGAACAAGCTGTAATAATCTGCACTGAACACGAATTCTACCAGCTTGGCTGTGTGGTCATTAAAGATTCTAATCTAATCTAATAAAGTGAAAATCACTTTAAGTACAGCCCTTTTTCAAAACTATGAATATGGATTGTTGCAAACTGTAAGTTCAGTATTTGGAGTCTTAGTATCTATTTCTCTCCTTGAACAATCTTTTATTTGCTGTTTTTAGCACACTGCTGGAGCCGTTGGAATCTCTGCTGCAGCTCATGTTAAAGTGGGATCCTGTCCAGCGAGGAGGCAAACTCAACCCTGACACCAGGCAACCCTCCTGCTTTAATGTGCTGGAGCAGATACTCAGTATGAAGGTGAGTTACTGACTGAGTTTATCTTAGGATTCAGCCGTGGATAGAAATGACAACATCATCAGCATCAATTTTGGATTTCTTTGAACTGTCAATGATGAGTTGGAGTGCTTTATATATATCTTCAGTTTACCAAACAGTTCAGTGAATGTTTAATTTCTCTCCAGGTTGTCCACATCCTGAACATGACCACAGCTCAGGTCCACTCCTTCCAGCTGACTCCAGAGGAAAGTCTCCACAGTCTACAGATGCGCATCGAGGCCGAGACAAAGATTGAGGTGGTGAACCAGGAGCTGCTGCAGGAGACGGGGGTGTCCCTGGACCCCAGGAAGCCTGCCGCACAGTGTGTCCTGGATGGAGTGGTACGTAGGCCTGTCACGATAAATAATTTTGTTGGACGATAAATGTTCCTGGAAATTATTGCGATAAACGATAATATTGTCGGCACCATTGTAAGACCATTTTAGACCACTGACATAATGATAATATATATATATATCATAATAATTCTAGTACATCCTTTCAAACAGAACTTTTTATTGAACATTCAACATTGCAAATGAAATGTGAAATAATATTAAAATATATAAATGATATATAATAAATAAAACAAATTAATTAAATTATAATAAATTAATTAAATCACACACAACCAAAACAATAAATTAAATAGACTCAGGCTGGAAAACAGAGCTCTCAATCCATCTATCTATCCATCTCTATATAGATATATATAAATAAATCAATATGAGCACACATTGTCTCACAAGCAAAAAAGATCTCCTGAAAACAACATTCATGTGTTCAGTCCACTGTCCATACAAAGACCCAGATGCCTCAACAGGCCATATCCAAATCTGTTTTTCGAAGTTTTCGAGCAAGGAACACCAACATGTTTGCATTGTCGGGCAAATGCATCTTTGATTGTAAACTGTCGGGAAGGTGGGGGCTCTCCATCTCCAGCTGCCGTGTTTTCTACCAGCTGGGAAAACGGAATGGAGTGGTTGTGTTTTAGGTGTAGTTTAAAATGCGTGGTATTGCCTGCTTTTGTCGCTACCTTTTTTAAACAAATGCGACACACCGCCCGGCTCATTCAAGTCCGTAGGTTGGCCTCGTTGATTTGGCTTGAATCCAAAATACTGCCACACCGGAGAATCGAGATGTGTATGTTTTGTAACCAATTCCATTTCACTTTAAATTCCCCGCGAGTAAGTCACAGGTTGTCTCCCGCTTGTCGCTATATTATTAATTTGGCTGCTACGCTGCTGTACGTGCACACAGAGTGTCCTGACCTGGCTGTGTGTCAGCCCCGCCCCTCACAGCGCGCATGGCCGGCAGCCACAGCTCGTCTGGCAGCCACAGCGCTCCTAGCTAAAATGCTGGTCACATCCTTATGTAAACAAACACGCATGTAAACGGCAATTTATCGAGCTCAGAAAAGTTATCGAGTCCATTTTTATTTATCGTACGATAAGTCAATTTATCGATTATCGCGACAGGCCTAGTGGTACGTTCACTTTAATGCAGTTTAGATAACAGCCGAATCACCCTTAACTGCTGTAACTTTCCTCTTTACCCTTAGAAACTTCAGTCAACTTATATTTAACATCCAAACCATTCATTTTCTTATACTCAGGTTAATTGTTGGAGTTAAAACCTTCATTAGCTGGTGTCCTGGATGATTTCAAGGACCCAAATGAAGTCTAGCTGCTGTCTTTGTTGTTTCCTTCAACTTCCCTACCAGTTTCCTTCTGCTAACAAAGCAAACACTCACTTTTTTTTAACCTTTTAAGCCGGGCTCCCATTGGAACCCTTAAAAAACAGGCAAAGGTGTGTAAAAGATTTTTGTCAGTGCTAATGCACTAAAATGATACAAAACAGCTGTGTCTGCAGGTATCATGGCTCACAGAAGCCTACTGGATGTGCTCTAAGGGACTTTGAATCTGTCCATGATGCTGTTTGAAGTGACAGGAAAGGCACTTACAGGCTGTATAAGTGTGTACATTCTTCTCTCCTGTGTAGAGAGGCTGGGATAGCTACATCGTCTACCTGTTTGACAAGAGCATCACCAAGTACTCCGGGCCCCTTAGCGCCAGACAACTGCCGGATAAAGTCAACACTATAGGTGAGTCTATTGTAAGGTGTGCTCATGCTGAGACAAAGAAGCCAACTGGTACTTCGAAGCATAACATGCATTCGTTATATTGAACACATCAGAAGATAACATTTATTTCCTGTGTCAGTTAGCTTGTGTAAAAAGGATTCTCTGACGGATTCTATTTGGTCCCGACTCTCATCTTGTTTAAACTCTGCAGTGCAAGAGGCAAAGACCCAGCTGCCTCTGGTGGTGTTGAAGAAGGTTTGGGGAGAAGCAGTGAGCTACATCTGTGGGCTGAAGGATGACTACAGCAGGCTTTTCCAAGGACAGAGGGCTGCCATGTGAGTCACATGATACATCTGGTATCCACAACAACATGACAAATATTCCTTTGTTGTTATTTTTATTGACAATTTGTTTTTAGTTAAACAGTTTCATATAAATCAGAAGAAAGTTGTATTTCCAAGTAGCTTTGCACATTCCAGTACTTTGTCATGGTGATTTGTTGCATGAAGCTAAACCAACACCATTTTTCATTGTTGTTTCTTCTGCCAGGATATTTAGAAATTGATTTTTTTTGTCTATGAAATGTTTGAAAATGGTGAAAGAAATGTCATCACAGTTTCTCAAAGTCCAACGTGATGTCTTTAAATGCCCTGTTTTGACACTTCAAAATGGGAAGGTATTCAGTTTAATAATATAAAACTGAAAACAACATAGAAATTGGTTTGACTATAAATGAACTATCAAATAGTTAATTTAAGAGATTCATTTTCTCTCAATCCACTTATTGATTTGTTGACTCGTTGTTGAAGTTCTACAATAAACACAAGCACAATATTTGAGAGACAAAAACATCTCAAATCTAGACATTTACAAAAGATATGAAAAATTGAAAGAGTTTGTGCAGAACTGCAACATATTGTCCAGGCCAGGGATGTACACAACTTCACGGCTAAGAATGTCGAGTACAAGTAATATCTGCATATGGGGAGATTGAAGAGATGTGGGTTAAAGTAATGGATGTGGAACAGGATAAGAGTCAGTGTGGTCCCAGGCCTTGTTACCAAACACACCTGCAGAGACTGCTCATTCTGCCTGATGTGGCCACCAGACACATCGGGGGCTCTGCACCAGGGGATTTAACCCCAGCCTGTAATGGTGCTTTTGATCTTCCTTACAAACCATTCCTATTCTAAATGGTCTCCATCCTCTCCCTCCAGGCTGAGTCTCCTGCGTTACAACACCAACCTGACCCGGTGTAAGAACAGCATGTTCGGCTTCTCTCAGCAGCTGAAGGCCAAGCTGGACTTCTTCAAGAGCAGCATCCAGTACGACCTGGAGAAATACAGCGATCAGATGCACTACGGCATTTGTGAGTGTTCACTAAATACCCCTCTAATGGAGAACATTTATATGGCTATATTTGTTTTAAATGAGCAAGATGTAGTTTTGTTTTAATGAGCTGTGTATGTTTTTTTAAAGCCTCTGAAAAAATGCTGAAGGCCTGGCAGGAGAACGAGGAACGAGCTGCGGCTTTTGCTCAGGTAAGGCTTGTTTTCAAAATGTAAATTTGGCCTGTAATGTCTCTCTGCAATCCTTTTGGTGATTGATTCCCGGTTTGTCCTGCAGGTGGCGGAGGTCAGCCATCTGGACGATGAGATCATGGCTCTGCACTCGGAGATAGTGGAGCTTCAGAGGAGTCCGTACGCTCGGCGCCAAGGAGACAAGATGGAGCAGCTGTGAGTTGTGCTGTGGTCGTTTACACAAGAAATGATTGGTTTAAGGCCGAAGTGTCAGGGGTGCAACAAAGGTCCCCACCAGGAACCAAACCAGGGGTCTTTCAATGAATCCTCCTGTCAGGGCTATAGAGATACATGTCAAGACTGCAAGATCTGGATTGGTTAGCTTTTTGCTGCTTGTGTTCTCTAAAAAAGGTTTCCAAGGATGGTGGAAAAATAATTGATAGTGAATGAATACATGTTTTCATTCAATCAAAACAGGAAACGTAGGTAGAGTTAAGATGTTGGGTTGTTGGGTTTTAGGGATGCACGATATTGTTTTTTTTAAACCGATACCGATAACTTCCTGCTTCTCAAGACCGATAACCGATAATAATATTATATATATATATTAAAAGTACCTGTAGTTTTTTTCTCGTTTTAGCCCTGGGGTCGTCTCTGGCAAAATTCTTGCCTTTTTCAAAAGCCTCGTCGATAGGTAAAATCCCCGGTGCCTTTGCAGCTGGCTTTGGATTTGCCGCTAGTTTAGCAGCGCAGGCGTCTTCGTACGCTTTTAACACACCATCGTAGCGATGTCGATGTTTCAGGTGACTAATCAGGTTGGAAGTATTATAGCTCGTTGCCTTTTTCCCTCCTCGTGGAACTTCTGCATTGCATTTGTTAATACAAATAGCAAGCGAACTATCTAACTCTGAAACTTTGAAATAGTCCCATACTACCGACAACATGTTTGTTTACTGTCCTGGCTTCACGGCCGCACACCATTTACGTCACAGCCAGGCATGAGTTAGGGAGCGCTGGATTTGTGAAAAACTCCCCTCTTCCTAAACCACTAATACCAAAGTACTGGCAAAACGGGAGAAGCCGAGTGAAAAACAAGCGCCCCTCATCCCAATCCACCCACACCACAGTATTTTTTTCTTTTTTTTTACCCAAAAAATATATTGTATATTATCGGGGCTATTAATACTTTTATCAGGTTTATCGGGATGACGTCATAATTCCTAATATCGGACCGATAATTATCGGGCCGATAATTATCG